AAAAAAAAAAAAAAGTTACCAGAGTGATCGTGACATGCCAGATACTATAAAGTACTAAACACATATTATTTATTTCTTTATTTTTTTTTTTTGGTACTGAGATCAAACTCTGGTCTTTGAGCTTGTGAGGCAGGCGGCAGAATCACTGAGCTAAATCCCTGGCCCCTAAATACATATTATTTCTAATGTCTACAAAATCCTATAAAGCAGCAATTATTCTCCTGATCCTAGAAAAACTGAAGATTAGAGAGATTAAATAATTTGTCTAATATCACAGTTATGTCAAGATAGACCTAGATCTAGAACACAGGCTTCTGACTTCAGTACAATGTTCTTTCACACTCTTCTACCCCTATTTATACTCTAGAGAAGTATAGTAATATAGTTCTCTATTTGCTCATTTTATTTCCAAGCAGATCTATTTTCCACAGTCCTTTAACCTAAAAAGAGGGTTTTGTTTTTTGAGACAGGGTCTCACTACGTAGTTCAGGCTGACCTTAAAATCACTATGTAGCCCAGAATGGCCTTGAATCCACAGCAATCCTCCTGCCTCAGCCTCCCAAGTGCTGGGATTACAGGCATGTACCACTATGTTCTGCCTAAAAAGAGGGTTTTCTATTATCCCCATTCTAAATTTTTCACTCTCCTTCATTTCTTTCATTATTCAGTTTAATTCAATAAGCTTGTTAGTAGTTCATTTAAATTATGCACTTACATAAGATTTAAGTTTTGTATTTAAGTTCCTTTCTCACATATATTCAATGATGGGACTGTCCTCACATGGGACATGCCAGACACAAAAAAAGTTAAAGTGTACATGGCAGCTATATAAATAAGTAACAATAACCAATAAATAAGCTAATACACAACATCGACGGCTAGGGGATTGTAACTCAATGGTAGAGTGCTGTCACCACACACAAGACCTTGGGTTTGATCAGCACTAAAAAAAAAAAAAAGTATAAAACCTCTACATTATATAGTTTAATCTGGGTCTGACAGCACAGACTTGTAATCCCAGTACTCTAGGAGGCTGAGGCAGGTGGACTGTTAAAGTCAAGCCCAGCTGAGGAAACTTAGCAAGACTCTGAAGACTTTGTCTCAAAATCAAAAATTAAAAATAGGCTGGGGACATAACTCAATATTTGAAAGACCTGGGTTCAAATACAGTATGGAAGGAGAAAAAAATTATATTGTATAAATTATAAGTATAAAGAGAATTAGAGATTAACATGACTAAAGTTAGGCTATTATCAAATATTTTTCAGCTGGGCGTGGTGGCACACACCTATAATCCCAACACTCAGGAGGCTGAGGCAGGAGGATCACTGTGAGTTCCAGGCTTGGACTACATAGTAAGTTCCAGGGAAGGCTGAACTACATAGTGAGACCCTGTCTCAAAAAAATAAAAAATAAAATAAAATAAAATAAATGAATATTTTTCTCAGGAACTAGGCCAGCCTATCCCCTCTCACCACTTTTATTCAATATTCTTATATATTTCTTAAAATTTTAGCTAGATTGGGGCTGGCAATTTAGCTCAGTGCTTCTGGCACTTGACTTGTAAGCACAAAGACCTGAGTTGGATCCCCGGTGCCCCCCCCAAAAAAGTGGTTTTTTCAGCTGTATCAATTAGGCAACAGAAAAAAAATAAAAGGGATACAAATAAGAAAGGAATAAGTCAAATTATTGTTTGTAGGCGATATGACCTTATATCTAGAAGACCCTAAAGACTCCACCAAAAGACTTCTAGAGCTAATAAATTCAGTAATGTATCAGGATATAAAAATCAACATTAAAAATTATCTTTATTAGGGGAGGAGGGGGTGGAGGGAGGGTGGGGACAAGGGGAAAAAATGAGAACAAGACCTGGCATGTAAAGGTACAAGATCTCAGTAATGAATGTAACTGTACTGTCTACCTAGAATGTACCAATAAATTAAATTTTAATTTTAAAAAATTACCTTTATTATACACTAATTATGAACTAGCCAAGAAAGAAATCAGGAAAACGATTTCATTCACAATAACTTCAAAAAAGAAAATTTACCTAGGGACCAATCTAACCAAAGAGATGAAAAGATTTCTACATGAAATTTTTAGAACACTGAAGAACAAAACTGAAGATACCAGGAGGCGGAAAGACCTCTCTGTTCATGGACTGGCAGAATTAACATTGGCTAAATAGTCATATTACAAAAGTGATCTAAAGATTCAATGCAATCTCCATCAAAATACCAGTGACATTCATCAATGAATTAGGAAAAACAATCCTAAAATTCTTATGAAAACACAAAAGATTCAGAATAGCCAAAGCAAAGAAAGGCTGCTATCAAGAAATCAACCAATAACAAATGCTGATGGAGCTGTGGGGGAAAAGGAACCCTTCTCCACTGTTAGTGGGAGTGTAGACTGGTGCAACCACTGTGGAAATCAGTGTGAAGATTTCCCAAAAATCTAAAACTAGACGCTCCATTCAAACCAGCTATACCTCTTCTTGGTATGTTCCCAAAAGAATTAAAAGCATCATACTACAGAGATATATGCATATCCATGTTTACAGTGGCACAGTTTGTAATAGCTAAAGGTTGGAAACAGCCCAAATGCCCATCAATAAAGAAGATGTGGGTTTTTTTTTTATATAATGGAGTATTATTCAGTCATAAAAAGGATAGGTATGGGCCAGGGATTTAGCTCAGTGATGCCACCACCTGCCTTGAAAGCACAAGGTCCTGAGTTCGATCAGCAGTACCAAAATAAAAAAGGTTAAATATGAGACAATTCTAGCTAAATGGATGCACCTTGAGACTATACTCAAGTGAAATAAATTGGATGTACATGTTTAAATACTACATTACTTCTCTGATATGGAAAAGCAAAAATGGAAATAAGGACTACACATTTGTATATTATACATTTGTATAATGGATGCTGGAAATGGGAAGAAAGTATTCAAACGGGAAGGAGGAAGGAAGGAACAAGAAAAAAGTGAAAACAAATAAAAAATGGAAACAAAGCTTTTGTATATGGGGGGCCTTGGGGGAAATGAGATAAAAGCAAAGCAAACCAAAGCCAAGCCAAGCCAAGCCAAGCCAAAGCCAAAGCAATCCTAAGCAAAAAAGATCAAGGCTGGAGGCATCACAAGACCCAGTTTCAAGTTACATTGCAAAGCCATAGTAACAAAAACAGCATGGTACTGGCACAAAAACAGACATACAGGCCAAAGGAACTGAACAGAGGACACAGAAACAAACCCACACAACTACAGCCATTTGATTCTGGACACAGGAGCTAAAAATAGACTTTGGATAAAAGACTGCTTCTTTACCAAAGTGTGCCCCCAAAACTAGACATGCACTTATAGAAGACTGAAACTACATGGTGGTGCACACCTGTAACCCTAGCACTGACTGGGTAGGGCTGAAGTAAGAGGATCACTCCTAGTGTGAAGCCAGCTTGTGCTACACAGTGAGCTCAATGCTAGCCTGAACTTCATAGCAAGACCCTGTCTAAAACAACCACAAAACCCCAATCAATTCAAAATGGATCAAAGACCTAAGTATAAGACCTGAAAATCTGAAACTGCTAAAATGCACTTGAAAAATCTGAAACTACACTTGAATAGAACTTCAGTATCACAGAAAACAGCAAAAATCAACAAATAGACTATATCAAGGTAAAGTTTCTGCACAACAAAGGAAACAACTAGCAGAGTAGAGAGCCTATAAAATAGAAAATCTTTATGAACCATTCTTCTGACAGAAGATTAACATATGGAATATACAAAGAACTCAAAGCTTAACATCAAAAAATCAAATAGCCCAATCAATAAATGGGCCAATAAATTGATCAGGCACTTCTCAAAAGTACAAATGGCCAATAAATATATGAAAAAAAGTTCAACATCTTTAATCATTATGGAAATGCTACTCAAAACTACTTAGCTGGGGGGTATGTGCAAGGCCCTGGATTCAATCACCAGCACCACAAATAGACACACAGCCGGGGATTTAGCTTAGTGGTTCCGGCGCCTGCCTCACAAGCACAAGGGCCTGAGTTCCATCCCCAGTACCACAAATAGCCACACACACACACACACACACACACACACACACACACACAAAAAAAAAAACACAATACTACAGATCCCATGTCATACCATTCAGAATGGCTGAATACAAAAAACAATAGCCAAAAATACAAAAAACAATAAATGCTGGGAAGGATATGAGGAAAAAGGAACCCTTCTACACTGCTAGCAGGAATGAATATTAATA